TATCTCAGTCATTGACATTCTATCCTTATCACAATAATCGAACCAATCAACAGACCCATTCACATAATAGTTACCTCTTATTTCACCATTATGGTACATCTGAATAGAAAATCCTGCCTCATCCCCTGCAATTCGAAAGCCACACATGAATTTTAGCAAACAAAAATACATGTAAGCCTATTTACAAATACACACATACAAATACAAATACAAATACAAACAGACACATACGCACACACATATACAAATACAAACTTTCTATGTCAGTACACACATAGACAAAAGGTAAGATTCCCAGTGGTTGAAGGACCACATACAAAAGCCAAAGTTTACTTCCGTTAACCACCTACCATTCACACCATTCCATTTACCAATTAAATAGACACAGTGATACCGACACCTAACTCGAAACTCACAATCCAATATAAAAGCCAAACTTTCACTCCACACCAAACTCGAAACTGAGACTCTCTATTTGAAAGTTTCACTCTGAAACATCAGCTGCCAAGAACCTTACACAACAGTAAGCCATACGTACCGTAGAAAGGTTCTCCATATCCTTTCGGGCGAACTTCCCAACTCATATTCTTCAGATCTGTCGTCTTCACTCCGTTTTTCCTCTCTTTTTGCAGTCTATTTCAAATATTTGCTCTCCAAAACACGAACAAACCCTCTTCTCTCCTCTATGTCTCTCTCAATACATGAACAAAACTCAGTTTCTGAGTTTCTTTGATTTTTCCAAGTCTGGGTAATCGAGGCATTGCCTTGGAACGCGTGCCTTGGAGAGAGAAGGCGAATGTTGGTCTTTTTTTTTTGGCCGAAATTGCCCTTCGTGTCGTCTCTGTCTAACTCCTGTTTGGGTATGAGGTGGGTCCCACGCCTGCCACGTCAGCATTTAACGTCTGACTTTGACGATCAATGTAACGGCGGGTGTCAATTGGTTAGGATTCGAAATGTTGGGTAAGATATTGACTTAAATGAAACCTTAGGGCCCATTTCGATACTGGCACTAAACCTGCAGGGACTAAAGTGTAGTTAAGTTTGTAACACTTTCTTTTGTTTCATAGGGATTGGGAGCTGACATATTCATGAATTGTATCTTTCTTTTTGTTTTTTGTTCTTTTGTTTTATATATACAAGCGTTATTGGGGAGGGGGTTTTCTCACATACACATACTGTCAAGGTGACATGAGAGTTCGAAATTAAGACCACTGATTTACAAATCAAGGCAGTTTTCCATTAGACTAGACTCTATTGGCTTCATAAATTGTATTTTTTACTATATTATAAGGGACCGAAAATTTGACCTATTCCAATCCTAAACAATTTTCTCCATCTTCGCTCATCACTTGGTCAATCCCGGACATTAAGAAGGCAGTAGTCTTTGGTGATCAAACATGATTAGGAACATCAATACTTTGTTACCTCCATGATTAGTAACAAACTAATGTTTTTGTTTCCAAACTCGTTAATTACAAATATTATTTGAATACAATAAACTCGTTAATTACTAATGCCTTGTTGACTACTGAGGCGGAATACATGGCAGTAACAGAAGCTATTAAGGAAGCCATCAGGCTTCAAGGGTTGCTTGATGACTTAGGGGTTCAACAGGACCATGTGGATGTTCATTGTGACAGTCAGAGTGCTATTTATTTAGCAAAGAATCAAGTTCATCATGCACGTACGAAACACATTGACGTGAGATTCTATTTTCGTAAGATTATTGAAAAGGGAGATATTCTTCTTCAGAAGATTGGGACTGCCGACAGTCTTGCGGATATGTTGACAAAACCAGTTTCGTTGCTCAAGTTTAAGCACTGCTTAGACTTGATTGGCATTTGTAAAATTTGTTGACTGCCTCGAGGGGAATTGAGAGACGACCATTGAGAGTATTACTACTATGGTTTGGTGAATTTTGAGTCAAGGTGGAGATTGTTGACTATTTGACTAAATAATGCACCTACAACCTTGAAATTTGGTCGATTGGTTGCTTTTGGCTGTTTATCTTGGTATTTGGTTGATTGGCAGACAAATAGCATGGGAATGCATTTATTATGGGCAGCTTTTGGCTTTGCCTATATATTGAGCCGTGGGCACATTAATTATTGAACTTTGGCTAATTAATTGGTTTGACTTGATTAGCAGCCCACCCGTTGGCTCCTTTGAAGAGACACTCATCCTTTGGCTTTAAAAGGAGAAGTAACCCAGCAGATGGTGAGAGGAAGCTGCACCAAAGGGAGTGTAGAGAGAAGTTGGCAGCAGAGAAAGTGAGAGAGGAAAAATAATAGTTGGGCAGCAAAACAATTTGTGTCTGTCGTTGGTTATTTTTCCCTTTCTTCAAATTGTACTCAATTTATAATCCCTTTATATTCTTGAGTGTGTGAGCTTGGGTATATTTGGGGCTTGGGTTTCTGAGTGTTAAACACTATTGTATTCTCTCATTTGATTATAATGGATTACTCCGTCGTCTCCAAACTGAATGTAGGCATTGCTGAACCAGTATAAATCTTGGTGTTGTTAGTGTTGTTTTGTTCTTTTTTTTATCTCTTGCCAGTTGTTGTTTTATTTTCACTCACAGTTGGTTGACGCTTCCGCACAACACAAACATGATTAGGAACATCAATACTTTGTTACCTCCATGATTAGTAACAAACTAATGTTTTTTTTTTTTTCAAACTCCTTAATTACAAATATTGTTTGAATACAATATCCATAGAAAGTAAGTAATCAGTAATCAATAACCACTTGCATCTAATTTTTTGATTTTCTTATAGTTAGCTTGAAAGCGATGCAGTTATAAAGGATTCTGAAAGGAAGAATGCGCGAAGACTTGTGCAACGCATTAGTATTTTCATTGCTCCTGTGACATTGGTCAATCTATTGCCACCAAACCAATTGAGAGGAAGGACAAGTATTTCAATGAAAGAATGTGAGGTTGTATTTGTTGTGAAAATCAAATAAGACTTTCACTCACTCCCCTAATGATCTTGTTGTTGATGGACTTTGTGACAAACACAATAATGGATGAATCACACACACACACACATGAGAAACCAACAAAGCACAAAATGACACAAGAATTTATAGAGGTTCAGTAATTGCCTACATCCTCTTGGTGATCCCCTTGAGAAATTCACTAATGAAAGAATAAGTTACAGCTTTGGTTTACAAAGAAAACCCCTTAGAACTCTATTCTCTCCCCAAGCTCTCTTTTCTCTCTCACCCCTTGCTCAACACTTTGATGCACTTGTGAACACTTTCTCACCCTTGGTGTTCCCCCCCCTTTGGTTTCTAGACTTACAAGACCCCAACACTTAGCTCCTTACTTGAGCTGATTGCACTCTCTTCCTCCCTTGATGGTTTTACCCTCACCCTTTGAGAAATTAATCACCCCTTGGAGAATAAAGACCACTCCCTTGGTGAACTTAACCACACCTTCTGCTGCCTTGCATCCTCTTCTTTATAGACATGCCTTTGGACTTAGTAGAGGGCTGCAATTACTCCTACACGTTCTCACTTTCAGCCACCCACCTAAACCATAGGTTAGGCAAGTCAAAAAGTAAGCCATTAATGCATGCACCCTTTAGCCACCCTATAGCCACCCTATCTAGAAAACCCTTGATACAATTCAACAAACATCATTTAATGGTGTTCTAGCTTTTCCATCACCTTACTAGACTTTCTAGAACCCATTAAAGACTTTGGAGGCACTTTGAGTTAGGTAGGGAATTAACACATGTGAACTGAATCCTTAATGTGAGCCAAATTTCCAACAGTATTTGCCCCTCTAGATGATTTAAAGTCAATCGAATTGCTTTCAAGGACCTACATGAGTAAAGGCTTATTGGAAACTATTTCCCTCTTTTCAGCCGAGGCGGTCGATGGAAGGAACTTTTGGTCTTTCTTCTTTTGAATGCGGGGTGTGCCACCACCAAGCCACGAATTTGGGCTTGAATGGAATATGAGTAGATGGATGTGTTGCGCTTCTAACTTCTAATCAAACAATTGATCGGCCAAGCAAGGAACCTCCTCTTGGCCTAGGTTCTTTCACTTCCTTGGGCTCGAGGATGGTTAGGCTTTGTACGGATGTTCTTGTCATTTTTAGGGTTTTAAGAAAAAATAGTGCAATTAAACTAAATGTGCGTTTAAACGTAAAGACAAGAATTAAAGTGCAATAAAATAAATTAAAGCGATAAATAAAGTAAGAACGAAATAAAAGCGATAAGAATGATAAACTGAAATAAACTTGAAATTAAACTTAATAAAAGTGCGATAAGAATGAAAAGAAAGGCAATGGAAATAAACTTGAATTTAAATGACAAGAAAATAAAAATTGAACAAGAATTTAAACTTACACTAAGGAAAGGAAGAACTCGCTACACTAGGTGCTTGAAAAATAAAATCTTAAGTCTAGAAAAAGAGAAGTGCGAGATGAAAAGTAGGTTTGTCTGTTTGATGTTGTGTGTCTTCTGCCTTCGTTTGGTGATGTTTATATAGGGCATTTGTCAGCCCATGGGCTGGCCATTGAATGGCCAAAAGTCAACTTTTTAAAGATTCCTTCCCTTTAGAGGCCCCCCAAAATCCGTGGGATTGCATTTATGGAGATATTCTGATATACTTGATTCTTTCTTGCTTTGGATCATTTCGAATTATTATCAACCTCCTTGATTTCTTTCCTTGTGAGGCATCCGTCACGTGCACATAATCTTCTGGAAATCCTGGGCTCGAATTGGTGACTTGGGCTTGGACCTCCAAGCTCTTTTAAATGGCCATCCATTTTTATTACACATAATACATAATAAAACTCTCATATTTCAATTGCCCAAAATCCTTCAATCCAACCCCATCAAAAAACCCTGGCCGTATATTTGTATTTATTTACTTGTGTGTGTATATATATATGTAAAATAGGACAAGGAAGGCCCAACTTAAAGAAACTCTAGCCCAACCCATTCTTGCAAAAACCCTAGAGCTTAAACCACAATACTCCAGCCGCCAGATTTCAAACACCCATATACATATATATATATATATATATGTATATATATATATATAAGACAAAGAGGTTTCAATCTAAATGAACTTTAGCCCAGCTGCATTTGCAAGAAACCTAAAGGCTCTAACAAAAAAAACTCACAATATCCCAGCCGCAAGAAACTTGGGTTCCAGCTGCCAAATCCAGTGGTCATTTTCCAAACCCTCCAGCAATTCTGCCTGCACATCAAGCTTCTAGCCCGGCCGCAACAACCCCAGCTCCTCCAGCAGTGAAAACTCCAGCTCCTCCAGCCGTCAAAACTCTAGCTCCTCCAGTCGTGTTCACGCAAACCCCAAAGCTCCAAAACCCTGCTGCCTAGCTTCATCCAGCCGCCAAGTCTCAACAGTCCAGCCGCCTTCAAGCCTTCAGCCCCGCTCGAAACAAAAGCCCGGCCTCAGTCCAGCCACACTTCGAACAAAGCCCAACCGTATTCGAACTAGGCCCGGCCAAAACACTCCAGCAAACCTGGCCCCTATACTCAGCAGACTCGACCGCTCCGGACTCAGCCCAGCTCCATCTTGCCGTAACTCTGCAGAAAAATCCCGGCCGTGACTCCACCAAAATTGGGCCGCATCTCCAGCTACAAAACTAGGCTGCATTTTTAGCTACAAAACTGGGCCGTATTTTTCAAACAAGCTTGAACACAGCCCGGCACATCTTCCCAGCCACGTAGTCCGGCCGTATTCAAGTCTCATATCCCTTTTGAGCTTCCAGCCACGGCTCAGCCACAAGAACTTTAGCCACACTAGAATTTAATATGGCCGCTTGTATTTCGTAAGTTGCCCAGGTTGGGTGAATTTTCACCACCCCAAAACATTGCCCCCTCAACTTGCTTAGCTCAGATTGGTGTAGAGGTAAGCAAATCGAAACCCGAGACCTCTGAATTTCTTAAGTTTGAGACTCTTCGCTTGCCTTTCACGTTATTTAAATTTCGAATTGGGTTGGAATTTAGAGAGACAACAATTAAATTAGAGAGACTTTTGAACTTCCTATCCGTTAAAACCCTAGGTATTTCCAAATACCCAAGTGCTCTCTTTCATTTCCACATAAAACACTTCCACCATAGCCATAGGTTTTTATAAGGTTTTCTCTCAAAACCCATATCCTCTTTATCCTCACATTCATCGTTTCACACACCGAATCCACCCGGATCGACGTCAAACTTGAGGTTTGCAAGTTTCTAGGTACGTTGCACTAATTCTTAGTTGATTTTGGTATGATTTTGATGCATTTGTAGCCTTCAAAAGTTTAGACTTGAAACTTTGAATGTATGAATAGTGCCATAATGTTCTTCACGTTCTTGATTCAAATCTTACTTTCTTCACTATATTTTTCTTTGATTCAATCTTACTTCCTGTTTGTAGGATGGAATCCATTCCAAATGATAGTGCCCAATTTTTTGAAGCTATGAAAGTGGCTGTGGACAAAGATTTGGGCAAGCAAGTATTCGCCTACTTCCTCAATGCCTTTCCCAACTCCGCCCAATATATTCTCGGCCCATTTTTCTCCACCTCTCCGGAGGAGGTGGCGAAGGTGTGGGTGACGCAGCGAGAAATGGCCCAACTTATTTCTCAAACTTCACATGGGCAACCGTTTGGGAGAGCTCCAAGCCATTCAGAGGTTGGCCGACGGGAAATTTGATTGGTATCATTGGTTCAAAATTTTAGAACCAAAATTGAAGGATCATTGGAAGAAGATCAGAATATATGATATGTTGCGCCTATGTGCGGGAAGCTCATTTCCTTGCGACCGGTCTCTCGTCATCGTGGCACTATGCTTTTGGTCTTTATCCACCAATTGCATGAGGCTCCGTTTCGGGATGATGACACCCAACTTGCTAGACTTGGCCACTATCGCCGGCCTTCTCCCTCATGGAGATGATTTCTCGGCCGCCAACCTTTCAGAAGCCAAGGTGGGCTTAGATTTCCACAAGTCAAACAAGACTTCTGGGAGTTGGGTGAAGACTTATATTGGCCATGGCTGTGAGCCCACCGACCCCCCTTCCATCAATGGTGTATCCTACACTGAGCATGTGGCTTTTCTTGTGATGTGGTTGTGCAAGTTCTTAGCGTGCCCAAAATCCGATGGGATTACTAAGGAATTCCAAGCCTTGGCGGAAGTACGTGTGGATGGCCATCAAGTGGCCATGGGCCCTATCTTTCTTGCCTATCTTTATAGAGGGCTCTACGAGGTAACCACTAAACTCATGGATTATCATGCTTCTAGCCCTATATGCACTACTACGTTTTACTATTTCCGCGACGAAGTAAAAATCGTCGAACATAAGACCATAGCGTGACGGACAAGCATATGCGTAGCGTAAAAGAGAGCGACGAACAAACTTCGTCGCACAAAACATCTTAGCGCGACAGCGAAGACGACCGTCGCGTAAAACTAGGGGAAAAAACCGCGAACTAATATTATGGTGCCAAATTCTTGCGCCACAACTAAGGTTGTCGCAAATGAGATCTTTGCGCGACAATTTCCTTATCCGTCGTGCAAAAAGGTGGAGGGAAAATAAAGCAGCTATGGCGCGAATATGTTGCGATGAGAAAGGACGTCGTCGCGTAAGAAAAACGCGCTAAAGATGACTTTTGCGCGACGAGTTTGGCATTTGCGCGACTACAGTTTGAGCGACGAAACAAGTTAATCGTCGCGGATAATCGTTGTTGGCAGAGTGGTGTTTGCGTGACGATAAAAAAAGTATGCGCGACGAAAAAGTTTAATGCGACGAGAAATGGATTCGTCGCGTATAATCGTTGTCGGCAGAGTGGTGTTTGCGCGACGATAAAAAAGCATGCCCGGCGAAATAGTTTAGTGCGACGAGAAATATATTCGTCGTGCAAAAGTCTCAAACTTTGCGCCACAGCATAGAGGCTTAATGCGACGAATATTTTTTCGTCGCGCAAATGTTGACATTTTTGCGCAACAATAATTACTTTTGTGCGACGAATATTGTTCGTCGCGCAAAAAAGTTCATCTACTACATTATCGGGTTCAGCCATGGCAGAGGCAAACTGCAAAAAGAAATTGCAGCTTGCCTCTCCCTCTCTCTTCCTCTCTCTCGGACGTTTTGGGCCAA